TGCGGCTAGCAAATTGGAACCCTCAACCCAAGAGAAGCTTTTAATTAAAAAAAAAAAAAGTTGGCAGAATCAGGAAACAAGATACCCACTTAGCCGTGCAGAGCTGGAGTGGTATCTAGGAATTTCTCCTTTTAGTGTTGTGGGGCTGGGGCGACTGAGAGTCCTAGGGCCTCACACATGCTAGGCAAGTGCTCTGCCACTCACTACAGTTCCCATCCTTTTTTGGGGGTACCAGGGATTGACTCTGGACCTTGCACTTGCTAGGCAGGTGGTGGAACCACTGAGGTAAATCCTGCCCCCGCCTTTGGAAAATTATGGTTAAGTTTTTGTTCAAGGGCAGTTGTTGTTGTTGTTTGGTACAAGGGATCAAACTTGGGACCTTGTGCTTGTGAGACAGGGGCCAGAACCACTGAGCTAAATCCCTGGCTCCCAATCCATTTTTGTCTGTTTAATTTTAAGACAAGATCTCTTGCTAAATTGACCAGGCTGACCTTAAACTTGTGACCCTCCTGCTTTAGAATAATTGGGATTACATGTGTTCAACACACTTGGCACCTCCTAGTTTTTTCTGTCTTGGTTTTACTTTATAAAATAGGATTGAGAGAAATAGTATCTTGTTATAGTTTCTAATTGTTGAGACCTGTTGCTAAGCCAACAGGTCTGCTTTTTTTTTTTTTTTTTTTTTTTGGTGACAAAATCTCTTGATGTGGTGCAGGCTGGCCTTGAACTTTAGACAATACTGCCTCAGCCTCCTGAATGCTGGAACTACGGGTGTGCACTACCATTCCCAGTTCAGTATGTTCCTTTTGTCATAGCCCTAAGGATTTCCTAAGTAGGAGATGAAGAACTTTCCAGGAATCTTCGTCTGAGTATTATTATTTTTTGGTACCAGGAATTGAACTCAGGATTTTATGCTTACCAGGAAGGTGAGGCAACACTGAGCTAAATCCCCAGCCCTCGATTGGATTTTTATTTGTGCTCTTTCAGCTCTGTAGATAAAAGCTAACTCTATAAAGGCTTCTTGTTTTTTTCCCCTAAAAGAATCAAATAGTTAGTTATAGCCCGCATATATGTTGTCTCCCTGCTCTAAACACCATTCAGTATTTTGTAGAGTATTGCCGTCTTACCCCAGGTTTTTTTCATAAATGTATGGTAGTTTTTTTTGTTTGTTTGTTTTGTTTTTTTGGGGTACTGAGGCTTGAATTCAGGACCTTGGATTTGAGAGGCAGGCATGGTGTCACCGAGCTACATCCTCGGCTCCCATAAATGTACTGTAAACAGGCTTCATTCAGTGTTTTTTTTTTAGAGCCTATCTTTGTAAGTTTCACTTAAAAGATACACAGATAGGGTCCGGGGATTTAGCTCAGTGGTTCAGTGGCCTGCCTTGCAAGTGCAAGGACCTGAGTTCAATCTCCGGTACCAAAAAAAAGATATACAAATAGAAAGCTTTTATGCAGAGCTGCCTTTTTATTTTTGCTAATGACTATAATCTGAGGCAGCTGCAGGTCATCCAGAAGGCCCACAGGAGGCAGCACTAGAAATGACTCTTCCACTGTAGTTGTCTTCTGCAGGGGAAGAGTCCAGGAATATGATGTTTTCACCAGGCTTTACAGACCCCTGACTGAGATCAGACCTTCTTTTGTAGCAGTCTAGATGCTTGTTCGGTGGTGCCTCAGCCATCCTGAGGAGTGCATTCTAGTTTTCTTGATAATAAAACTTACATGAAACTATCCAAACTGTACCTCCTCCCACAAGCCAGCCTGCCCATACATCATGTGCAGGTGCCGTTAGCATTTGAGGTGAAGTTCTGTTATACACTCAGGCTGTGGCTCTCTGAAAGTCAGTGCATCACAGAACTTTGTCTCGAAAGCTTTCTCGCAGCTACCCATTTGGGAAGTGGGAGGGAAGAATAGACCTTTTAAATCTTTTCAATATGGCCCTAAGCTGGTAGGGTCTTTCTCAACAATCAACCTGAAATGTGTTACGAGGTCAAGCTAGTCCATTGTCCAGGAAGCCTATTTCTCAGCTTGGAGTTATTTATAAACTTGCCCTTTGCAAAAACTTAAAATGAAATTACATTACCAGTAATGGCTTCTGGGGCTTTAAACTGGCTGGTTTTATGGCATGAGGGGCACTGCAGGCTCTCCCCACTCCCAAGAGGTAAAGGCCCCAGTCTGAAGTGGACCCAGCTGTAGTCAGGCGGTGGCAGAGAAGAAGCTGCTGGCTGCAGGGGTAGCAGAGTGGGGTGTTCAGCTCATGCCTCGTTGTGGTTTCCCTTGGGAAGTGTGAAGAGGCCAGCCTTCACTGTAATACCATCTTTGCTTTTCCTCAGCTCTGAGACATCAACTCTGGTCTTTCTCTTTGCCTTCCTCAGCCTGTCTTTTCCTGCCCAGGAAGACCCAGTGTTCTGGGTTTTTGTTGTTTTTCAGTATTGGAGATTGAACCCAGTGACTTTGCACCCAGCCTAGCCCTTTAAAAAAAAAATTTTTTTTTTGAGGCAGGGTCTCCCTGCCTTGTTGTCCAAGTTGTTCCTCCTTCTTCAGCCTCCCAAAGTGCTGGGATTGCATGCTTGGACCACCACACCTGGCATTTGGTTATTTTTTTTTTCATATTCTAGGAAGCCAATGAAAAGAGCCATGGGCAGAATCCAGAGATGTTTCTCTTTTGTCCACTCAGTTATTAGACACACATGTCATGTTGGTCACAAGAACATTGGCTCTCCCAGTTGGCTGGTAGCCATTACACTTTTTCTTTTATTTAGGATCCTGTTCTGTCTAGGGATACCAGGCTGGCTGGAAAAACTGGTCACTGATGCCAGATCTAGATTAAACCAATGGGCTAGTCCCCAAAGTCGCCATGAATGTGGGTAGAGGGACAAAACCAAGGATTTCTAGGGAGAAGGCGGTAGGAAAAATTCTTCTAAATTTCCATTCATTTGAATCTTTTCCTCCTTGGTGTCTCCCTTTTGGTAAATTGAGAACCAAAGTGCTATAAAACCAAGCCTGCTTTGTGGGAAGATCTGTATTTTAAAAATTATCTTTATTAGTACATGTTTTGCAGCACATTTATAATGATCACATCATGGGGAGTTGGTACGTGTACAGAACACATCTTAATTCTTTTTATATAGGACAATCTTTCTGTGAGGAACTAGGCGTTAGGAAATCTGTTTCTGTTTGTGATCTTTTGAACTAGACTCTGGAGGACTTTACTGTGTTCAACAGCAGAGTTCCTTATTTGGAGAGGGGACTTCATTCTGCCTTCTTTATTCAGAGTGCATGGTATATAGGGTGCCCACTCTGAGGCAGAGGAGAGTACGGTTGGTGAAATATCATCCAAAATGGTCACATCAGGAAGTCCACTTAGGTGTGGAAATCCAATGATTAAAGGTCCCCTAAATACTTACTGCATCAAGAGATTTTACCTTATTCTCATTCCTTCTTATTCTCTCGATTATTGAACATATATTGAGAGTTCAGTGTATGTCAGACATCGTTCTGGACTCTTGGGGGTATATCAGTAAAACACAAAAATTGCTGCCCCCAAGAATCCAAGTGGGAAAAGCTTGTGTTCTTCATTGCCCTGTCAAAAGACTGAGTTCTTTTACTCCCATTCTTAATCCCCACTCCCCCTCCTGAGCTGGGGTCCATTCTTTCCATAAACCTTCTGGAGCCTCACAGGCCAGTTTACCTTTTAGGTCCTGGCGATGATTCTTTCCTCTTCACCCTGAGATCTTTGTTGAACATATGCTTGCGGAATGCCTTTGGCTCCTTTGGGGACGGTGGGTTTCCTGAGTAAGGTCAGGAGAGAGGTAGCTCAGCAACAGCCTTGTCTTACAGCACAGGCGCCGCCATGGTGAGTAGTGGTGATTACAAAGTCAAGGAATGTGAAGTGGTAAACACCTTCTACCCATTAGCAACTACCCGCATCTTTTTCTTTTTTTTTTCCCTGAGACAGTGTCTCACTATATAGTTCAGGCTGGCCTCGAACTCATAGCAATCCTCTAGCCTCAGCCTCCCGAGTGCTGGGATTACGGGTGTGTGCCACCACACCTGGCCCCCCAGTCTTATTTTCCCTTTATCTGGTTCCCTAGAAGCAAACCAGGATAGAGGAGGGGGAGCAACAGGGCACCGCTGTTTTTGCGAAGTCATATATTTACTGTTGAGAAGGGAAATAATTAGACTGATTCCTTTGCAGGAGCCAGCATCCTCAGTTTGATTCTTTTTTTTTTTTGGACTAGGGATTGAGCCCAGGGCTTTGCACGTGCTAAGTATGCACCGTACCCCTGAGCTACATCCCCACCCCTGATTACTATCTCCAGGACTTCGAGGTGTTTCTCAAGTCTTCTCATCATCTGGTCCTAACAGGTCCTAGTAGTGGTTAGGGCGTAGTGGAGGAATTGTGTTTCGTAGGAGTTTGGGGATGATGTCTTTCTCTCTGGGTTGCATTGAGAAGTGATGTGTGTGTCCATATGCTTGCAAACACTCATTTCCTTCTGCTCAGTGTGTGGGTGGTGTAGAGAAGGTTTGTTTTATGCCTCTGCATTGCTACTGCATCGGGACTGCAGAAACTTCCAAGTACGCTGAAGCATTCACTCCTGTTTTCAGATGGCCTCGTGCAGTGCCTGTTAATTAATCTGGTCATACCCCATACTCACTTGTGCATGGGAAACCAGAGGCAGAGGATAATTTGGGAAATAACTAAACCAAATATTTGGATTTAACAGCAGGATCTACCTTGATTAAACCCTCTGTGAGTCAGAGACGGTGTTTCTGGGCACTTTGGAGTCCTTTGTTGAAATGCTCCCTCCCTCAGTGCAGTTCACTTACTAGTTGATCATTTTCAGTGAGTAATGTGCAAACATAACTGTGTTGGGGTAGGGGCCATACAGAATCACCGCTAACCCCTTGTAGCCCCAGGGGGTCTAGGGGAAGAAAGTATCTGGCTTGCCTGTGGCTGGGGTCACCTTCAGAACTGAAGATCCATTCCTGTCTCCTTAGGAACCCTCCCTGTACACTGTCAAAGCCATCCTGATTCTGGACAATGATGGAGATCGACTTTTTGCCAAGGTGAGAGTCCCTTTCAGATTCGTTTAGGAGAGGGACAAAAACATTCTGAGGCTTGAAGTTTATTTTATTTTATTTATTTATTTATTTATTTTTGGTTTTTTGAGACAGGGTCTCACTACGTAGTTGAGACTGACCTGGAACTCACTCTGTAGCCCAGGCTGGTCTTGAGCTCACAGAGATCCTCCTGCCTAAGCCTCCCAAGTGCTGGGATTACAGGCGTGTGTCACCATGCCTGGCCCTGTTTTATTATTTTTTATACGTTTAGAAAGCTATCTTTTTATTTTTTCCAGTGCTAGGGATTGAACCCAGGACTGTGGGCATGGTAGACAAATGCTCTACCATTGAGCTCCACCTCCACCTCCAAGGTTTGTGTTTTAGAACTGGCACTATTAACTCGTATTCTTTCATAGTATAATTTAGAAAATTATTCCTTTTTTTTTAGTGACCTACCACTAACTATATCCCCAGCCCAGGGATTCTTCCATATTACCAAGCTACTCCAAATACAACTTGTTTGTTTTTTTCCGTACTAGAGATTGAACCCCAGTTCTTCACTGACATACATCTCCAGCCCTTACTTATTTATTTTGGTAGCAAAGTTTTACATTTATTAAAGGTGGCGGGGGGACAGGCTCTGCAGAGCAAGTTTGGGCCAAGTAAAAAGTAGGGGAAAAAAGTATACTGTACGGCCTGAGCATGGGCTGCTGTAAAGAGACATAGCCTCTCCCTCTCTCTTCCTCTCCCTCTCCCTCTCTCTCTTTCTTATTTTGATTTTTTTGAGACCAAGGTTTCACTATTTAGTCCAGGCTAGCCTTAAACTCACTATGTAACCCAGGCTGGCCTGGAACTTGTGGTGATCCTCCTGCCTCAGCCTCCTTGAGTGCTGGGACTACCAATATGCGCCACCACAATGGGCTTTATATTTCCTTTTATCCCTTAATTCCACTGTTTTCCTCCTTAGTCTTTGGCCTCCTTTGTTGCCTGCATCAGAAAAGGGAACAACTTTGGAACCTCAGTTCCTGATCAAAGCATTATGTAGACATTAGGAGTGCCCTGCTGGTGTCCCTCACTCCTGTCCCTTTCCCTCTTTTGTTACCCTTCCTGGTTTCTCTCAGGAAATTTCTTGCAATTCCAGGATTCTAGCCCTACATTTCTAATCGCTGCTGGGTGCAGCGTTTGTAACTTTGGATCTCCTGAAAGAGAGGAGAAAGGACACCCCTGTTCTCCTTCCATCTTCTCCCCCTGCTGTAGAAATTTCTTCTGTCCCTGGTGTCTTAACTCCGGGCGAGCACAGCATAAATCAATCAGCAGGTAGAGATTAGTTTGGAATTCACCAGCTGTTCCTTCCTGTAATTGGATGTAACTATGCAGGACACCTTTTGAAACAGTTATCCAGTTACTAAATGCCAGACCTGTCATAGGTCTTCAGCTGACTGCGACGGATTAGCCCCTAAAGAGCAGAACGATTTAGCAGCCTGCATCTCCGCCCCCTTGCTGGGGAGAGCTTGGAAGTGCGCTCAGAGATATGCTAGGCCGCTCCCTGCTTCTTTCAGTTTGTAGAAAAGAAAGCTGAGATAGGGAGGACCCCAAGGCAGGGCTTGTCTTGCTTTGTGGGAGTTTTTCCGTCTTTCCCTGTTTCTCAGCTTCATACGTGAGGCAGTGGCTGAGGTTTGTTCTGTGCTTCCCGTGACGGTATTTCTCGGGCACCGCCGCCTGCCGTGGGCAGCTCCTGTGCAGCCCTTCGGGGGTCCCTTGTCCTTAGGAAATCTCTCCTAGGATGCAGGCAGGAGCCGAGCTTATCTCCTCAGGGGGCCTCGATAGACTCAGAAATGTGAGGTGGGGTTGCTTACCACAGGTCCTTTGTGTATTTTTAAAAATTTGATTACTCATTGCCCTCCCTGCCTCTGCAGTCCTTCCTCCTCCATGTCAGTGTTTCTCCCTTGCTTCATGCCTCGAAGGAGAGAAATCAGGATCCCAGGGCAAAACATAGTCACTAATCATTCTGGGCTCCCAGCTCTAATGACCCAACCCTGTCTCCTTTCCCTCTGACCAGTACTATGACGACACCTACCCCAGTGTCAAGGAGCAGAAGGCCTTTGAGAAGAACATTTTCAACAAGACGCATCGGACTGACAGTAGGTCATTTTCCTTTCACTACTCCCTGTGCTGGGGGGAGCCACAGTAGGTAGGGGGTGGCAGCTGGACTAGAGAAAAAGGATAACATGACTCTGCCTCCTTTTTCTTTTTTTCCTCCTCCCCTCATATAATAAACTCTTCGGAAATGTAATGGGGAGGTGAGTGTACCTCACGTGGGAATACCGTGCTAGAAGGTTGGCTGTTAGCTACCTGTCTAGTCCCCGGATTTATGAGCCTCACTTGACAAATTTAACTGCAGCTCTGCTTATTGTACCGCATCCATTAGGGCAGGTAAATGGAAGTCTGTAAAGGTGACCGCTCTGCATTTTCACCTCCGAAGGATCGACTAGTATCCTGTCTCATATACAAGGAGGGAAATGCGTGTACTGTGTAGGGATGGGTGAGGGAGGGTGAGAGAAAACACATCTCTCCTCCCCCAAGTTTATACTTCCCTTGTCCTACCATCCAAAAATAGATCAACTTTGGTCTTTGGAGGTCATTACAGCCTACCTTACCTCATCCCCAAGCAGCTGGAGGCCAGGAGTTCATGGTAACTGCTGTGTTTCTTCACTTCCTCATCAGGGTTTTCATTGTTTCCTCCCCGCACAGGTGAAATTGCTCTCTTGGAAGGCCTTACAGTGGTGTATAAAAGCAGTATTGATCTCTATTTCTATGTGATCGGCAGCTCCTATGAAAATGAGGTGAGAATCCCTACCCCTTTGCTGTCTGATCCTGCTTCCTAAGCCATAGGCAGGACACAGCCACCAGTTTGGGGCTTAAGAGAAGCACATCTCTCTGGCTTCTGACAGGGCTAACAAAGTGGTCAGCGATCCCACTAGGCTCACAAGCATAGCCCTGCAAATGCATTAGTCTAGAAAGAAAGTTTTCTGAGATCTCTCTTTTTTTTTTTTTAAATCTGTATGTAGATGAGTCAGTTGTGTGTGTGTGTGTGTGTGTGTGTGTGTGTGTGTGTGTGTGTGTGTTTTTTTTTAAAAAAATGTGTGTGTGTGTGTGTGTGTTGTTTTTTGAGACATGGTCTTGCTATTAGAGTGGCCTTGAACTTGCTATGTAGCCCAGGCTAGCTGTGAACTTGAGAGCCTGTGGCCTCAGCCTCCTGAGGGCTAAGATTACAAATATGTACCATGAACACGACGGCTGCCCTTCCCCACACTGGGGACTGAACGCTGAGCTTCATGCATGCTTGGCAAGTGTGCTAGAATTCTAAGTACACCACCATGCTCAGCTTGCATGTTGTTTTTTAAGATGGATTTCTGGGGTGTGGTCAAGGTTGTAGGGGGATACTGGCTTCTGTTATGCAAGGTTCATACTTGACTGGGTTTGGGCCAGTTAGCAGACACACTGGTTCATACTGAAGCCGTTCAGATGATGGACTTGTTAAATCATACAATATGAATGGGACTGTGAATGTAGTCCTGACTTGCTTCCTGTAAGTGAGGAAAACTACCTCAAGTAGTAACAACTTCTGTGAGAGCAGGTAGGTAAAAATAAGCCTCCAGATAATGTTCAGTGAAAGTAAAAGTTTGAGAGACCCACATTCTACTGAGCTGTTATTGCTGTGAGTGCTTTTTAAAGTACATTGTTACTTGAGTCTTGTATCACTTCTATAAATTGTAGGCATTCATACCATTGTTTACTGAGGAGGAAACCAAACCATGAGGAACCATATAAAATTACTTGTATTTGACCATTGTTAAATTACACAAGTGTCAGTTTCATGTGGTCCAATCTAGTACTTTAACTCACAGGGTAACACATGTATAAATGGGTGAGCTGGGATACAAGCCCATCTGTCTGACTCAAAGGCCCACGCTCAGGCAGTGACAGTGTAGTGTAGCAGTAAAGCTCATATTGAGCATTCTCCAAGCCCTAGCTTCAATTCCCAGCAGACCCCTGTGCCCCACCCCAAAGAAGGAAAAGGCTATTTCTTTCTGGTGTCTTCTTCTGCCCTTACATACTTAATTATTGCTCTTTCTACTTATGGCATCATATGACATATATGGAGTTGGTAAAGACCCACAGAAGACTATGACAGACAAGTTCTATTAGAACTTCTGGCCAAAAGAGACCTCAAATTGTGGGATCACATAGCAGAATTCACTTCTGTGAGAAACTACAGGTCTTCTTCCTGTTTTGCTCTCATTTCCACCTTATGTTTTTGGTCCTGTAATGTGTTTTTCTGCTTAATGAAATGGACAGTTTTGCTTTTGGGTAGCAGTTTTCAGAGTCTTGAATCTTCTATTTCCTCTGTTCCCCAACAGCTTATGCTTATGGCTGTTCTGAACTGCCTGTTTGACTCCTTGAGCCAGATGCTAAGGTAAGCAGCCAATCTCTTCATTTGTTTGTTTGTTTGGATGTTTGTTTTGTTTTGAGACACAATCTCATTATGTATCCCAGGGTGGCCCCAAATTCATGATCCTCCTGCCTCAACCTCAAGTGTTAAGATTACAGGTGTGCACCACCATGCCCAACTGAGCAGCCATTCTTGATCTTGGTATTTACAGTAAAAGTATTTTTCAGGTCCAGGGATTTGTGGGGATTGGCAGAGGCTCAAGTTGGTTGATTAGTTTAAGTAGATGGGTGTACTATTTCAGAGTAATCTACACTGAGGAGGGCACCGGATGTAGTGCATGTCTGTCCTGAGGAATAATTCTGCTACTTAGGAAGGGGACCTTCCTGTTGATCCCCTGCGGCTCCCTCAGAGATCTGAGTGCCTTCCAGCTGGTTCCTTGGGCTCCATTCTTTGCAGTGGGGAAAGTGCAGTAAGGCAGTGTCCCAGATGAAACATCTCTACCTTGGGAATGGAGGCAAGACTCCAGTTTTCCACTTCTGACCCTTAGTTTTTCCCTCTATACAGCAGGAAGAATGTACCGTTTAGCCTCTTCTCCCTCTGTACCTCCCACTAGCACTGTTTTTCCAGGTAGAAAGGCAGAAGAGATATAAGATACTTTTCTTGAAAACATCCAGGGCTCTGAGCATCATTCCCCAGGCAGCTCCCATGTGAGCTCAGTACAGACAGCCATCCTGAGCAGAACAGCAGGCGCGCTCAGCCCCACAGAATCAGCAGGGCTAATGGCTCAGGTTTCCTCAGGAAGGGGATGATTTATTTCTCAGCCAGGTGAATGAATAGACTTCATTTCGGGTAATCTAGTGAAAGAGTCAAACTGACGGATGTGACAGGCCACAAGCACCAACCACCGGATCTGTGGTTGGTGGCTGCAGACCCTGACTGTTCTTATTCCCCTAGCTGGGCTTCTTTTCAGGGCCTGAGTGGGGAGGCTGCTTTTCAAGGCCTGGTGAGGGAGGGGAAGGAGGGAAAGCAGAGAGAGGCTTAGCTTTGTTAGGGCTTGAATGCAGACAGGGTTTGTGTTCAACCTCTCCTCACCTCCCACACCACCAGATTGAGTTTTAGCTCTGTTTATGTCCTTTTTTCCACCCACTCATGTCTGTTTGTAAGCAGTGTCATGAGCAATATTGTGGCAGGTAGGAAAGAAATGATAGGAAATAATGGCTCTAGATAATCAGCTTGTGAATAATCAGATATTATTGACTATGCTTGTAAAACTCCCCTTCCAGGGCTGGGGATTTGGCTCAGTGGTTCTGCTGCCTGCCTTGCAAGTGCAAAATCCCCAGTACCCCTCCAAAGAAAAAAAACCAAAACTCTCCTTCCTGATATTTCTGAATCTTACTCAGCAAACAAGAATAGGGAGAGGTTTATAGTGGATTAACTACAAAGTTTTTCACATCTCTGTCTGGTTGGTAGAAACATTTATTGGTCTAGTTTAGGACCCTTGTCCAGATAATGTCCTAGGATTCATTTCACACACATGCTGATTTTTCTCTTCTTTTTGGGGGTCTTAGGAAAAATGTAGAAAAGCGAGCTCTGCTGGAGAACATGGAGGGGCTTTTCTTGGCTGTGGATGAAATCGTAGATGGAGGGTGAGTCTCTGACCTGCCTGAATCTGGGCTGGGGAGGTCGGGGTGACTGCTCTGTCATTTATCAAGTGGACTGAGTGGCTAGAAGTCCTATCCCCACAATGAGTTGGTACTTCAGGACAGAGTAAACAGTGATTTCTTTTTTGTAGGGTGATCCTAGAGAGTGATCCCCAGCAAGTGGTACACCGGGTGGCATTAAGGGTAAGTGGGAATGTGTTTTCCCTGAATCCTCCTCTTTACAAACACCCCCAGAGTCACACCTGCTGAATGTGTCTAAGGGGCAGGGCTGATAGAATACATCTAACCTTCTCTTTCTCTTCCCGTCTCAGTGTCCCAAAGAAGCCAAGCAGAAGGAACTTAGTTCTGTCCCTAAAGTGGTGCCTAACATCACACACAGTTTTTGCACAAAGTGTACACTTAATGTATTTATGTTGAATAGATGATGAAATAAAATAAAACTTTCATATTTAGGGCTCTAAAGCTGTAAAGAAATGAGTTGGGCCTATTCTCTCTTTGAGGGTGAATCCAATTATCTGAGATAGAGGAGTGTCTTTCACATCTTTTAACATCTTACGTAACAGGATAATCTCCACAAGGAAGTGCTATTGTCCAGAATTTTAATACTCCTGGGTGCTAGTGATCTCAGAAGGGGGCCTCAGTATTAACTATAGAAGGCTCAGATCTTGCTGGGGAGATCATGGGGTACAGGGAGAGCCCACCTGCAAATTGTGGGGCTCAAGCGATATCTAAGCGACACAAACCTCCCTGTTCACAGAACGTCCCAGCTCTGACCTCCACAGAGTGAAGGCTGACAGTGCCGGGTAATGGCAAATCTTCTCCCTTAACTGCCGTGGGCTCCATTTGCATAGTTTAATCTTCTCCTCTAACATATGTCTATGTGGCAAGAGAGAAGGTCCCCCCACTGACTCCCCCTTTTCCTTCTCAGGCTGCTGTTGCAGCAGTTTATTTCTTCAAATTAACATGCTGTCGTTACCCATCAGGCCTTGCGGGATCCATTAAACTACCCCTAGCTCCCCCTCATCCTTTCCCCAGTGATATTGATAATCAGGAAAGGTCTCCTCTGACTAGGGAATCAGGTCTCCCACCCCTGAGTTGAGGGAGTTGAGGATCAGATAACCTGCTGATTATTTGGAATGGAATAAATCTTTTAAGAAGTCCTTCTGCCTTAAAATGTAACATGAATGAAACGGCCCTTTTCTGTTCACAGTCCCTCTGGCCAACTAAAATTGTAAGTTCTACTGGTTCCTAGAAGGAACCGAAAAGTTTAGGGCATCTGCCCTTTGCTTCAGTTTAAAGGACCAGCTTTTCTTCACCACTACCAGACACCAATGTAAATGCTTGTCTCTGTGCCACAGGGTGAAGATGTCCCCCTCACCGAGCAGACCGTGTCTCAGGTATGACTTTCTCTCTTCTGCCTCTCCACATGGACAGGGTCAGTAAAGAGGCTGGAACAGCGGTCTGTCCCAACCTGCCAGGTCAGAATGAGATCAGAGACAGCTGTCCTCCTTGGTCCCTCGTATTCCAGAGAACTGGGACCCTGCCTCATAGCCCAGTATCCCTCACTCCCACTCCCAGCTCCTCAGTTGCCTGAGCAGTGGCTGTCAGCCTTACTATGTACCCTTCAAACCCTCCCTGCCCAATGCCTCATCCAGTGATTTATTCCTCAGCAGAGGCTTGCCTTAAGCAGATGGTCTGTGTGTGTGTGTGTGTGTGCGCGCACACACACACACACACACACACACACACACACACACTTATTCAAATGAGGGCTAAGCTGGAAATGAAGTGTGTGCGCGCACACACACACACACACACACACACACACACACACTTATTCAAATGAGGGCTAAGCTGGAAATGCATATTCCAGTATGTGCAGGTTTGCAGATCATCCTGCTGTCTTGACTGCAGAAAAACTGTCTACCTCATTCAGGGGGCAAGGGAGGGTTTTCTGTTTTTACCCACTTCAAATCCTCCCCAAAGAATCTATCTGGATGTATAACTAACTCCCTCTTTGTAACCTGTGTCTAGTAACCCCCATTTTTTTTCTTTCCTTGCAAATATATCTATTTTCATTCCCCCAGAGGATTTGAATTTGGGGTGAATTTCCCACTGACAACCCTCTAGGACCTTAGAGAGCTTCCTCCTATTCCTCTGCCCTTGGGACTTTTCTATTTCTTGTTCTTCTAAGGACAGGGAAGGCAAGTGAGGGGAGCGAGAACACTGCTCCCACCCTGTCCCTCATCAAGGCTCCTTAAGTGCTGCCCTTGTCTCCGCAGGTGCTGCAGTCAGCCAAAGAACAGATCAAGTGGTCACTCCTTCGGTGAAGTCTCTTCTGTGCCTGACACCTCACCCCCTCAAAAATCCGCACGTGTGCTGTGACTTCTCCTCTAGGCCCCCAGCTGATGCTCTCAGGGTCATCTCGGGGATCACATCCTGTCTGGGGTTGCCCTCCTTCCCCCCAACCCACTTCCCTTTCCTTCTCACTCTACTGGGAGGAAAGCTCTTAGCAGATTTAGATGCTGGGCAGGGAAACGCCCTCTTCCTTCCTACACTGGATTGTGCTCCATGTCACCTACCCCCATTTTCTCCTCAGTTTCTTTGCCCTTTGCTGTAGCTACACTCCAGATCAAAGCAGGAGAAAGAATGTGCTGAGTGTTTTTTCCACCCTTTGCCTTTACACAACCTTCATCCCAACAGCCCATATGTCCAGCAGAGAGGGGTAGGAGTGAGTAGGGGTGGGCACTTACTGGCCTCAGCATCTCTCCTTTTTTCTTGATGCCCTGTCCTCTGCCTTGGAAATGAAATCAAGAAATAGCCACTAGGAAGGGGAGGGAGTGGCAGAAACAGTGATTTAGTGTAGGAATAGGCCTTTTTTTTTTTTTTTTTGGTACCAGGGATTGAACTCTGGTCCTTGCTCTTTTGAGGCAGGTGGCAGAACCACTGAGCCAAATCCGAAGCCCTAGGATAGGGCTTTTAAAACTCATTCTGTACCCTGGTCCAGGCATACAGCTTCAGAACTGCTGTGGTCTGTGAGCAGTCATTCTGAGTGTCCCTATCTTGGTCTGCTGTCTTAGCTTTTCACCTCTACTACCTGTGGGATTGTTCCTGGCTTTGTCCTCACTGTGCCCTGGAGCAGAGCCAGTCACTGGAACTAAAAGTCCATTCTTATTTTGGGGAGAATTTCTGTTCAGAACTGGAGAAGAAGAGAGGCTTATGGTTTGGACCTTGAGGCTCTCAGTCCCTCACCTCCTTCAAGTGCATTTGTTCCTCTGCCTTGGGTCTCAGTTGGCTGCTTAACCCTGTCCTCTCTGCCTCAACCTTAGATAAAAAAGGAGTTGGTGAGGGCTGACAGGTGCCTTTCCTTTGGGACCCGGATTTCCCCAGGAGGACAGACAGTGAAACACCTACTTTTAGGTCTTATCTTTTCCTTTGACTCAAAACTTCCTCCCTAAAAATCTGTCTTAGAAAACCCTTCCCAGGACCTAGAATTCTGCCCTACCCACTAACTGCCAGTTCTCCAGCCCTGAAGTTCCGGCTGATGATGGGATATTTGAGGAGGCGCCTTCATGTAGGAGATGTACAGAATCAGGAGATGGCCACCTTCCTATACTGCTCTCTGCAAAGAGGAATAAAACATTTCTTTTTCCAAACTGCCTTTGTGTGATGTTTCTGTTCCTCTCTTTTTGGCAGCTACTCCTATTCCTTCAGCCCCCACCCCCCATCTTATAATATTTCTTGCTACCTCTGAGACTCTCCAGCAAAACCCCCCTCCCCATGCCTAATTTACGGGGCTGTTTGCCTCCTTGGCATCTCTCAGTCCTCTCGCCTGGATATTGGCGCCAGGGGTGGGGTGGGGATGGTATATTTCTCAGTGGGAGTCTCAGGGAACTGAGTTCTCCCCCCCACCCCCAAAGCCAGCTGCCTGCTCCCGCCTCAGCCATTAGTAACCCGGAGACGCGCACCTGCGTGGGGGCTCTCCTCCAGCCCCTCTCCCTTCCTGCACCTCCCACTCCTGCTCTGAAACGGCGCTGAGCGGGTTATTTATCGGAGCCAGCACTGCTCCAGAAGGTCAGGACGGTGGTGTAAATAACCTCTTCTCGCCATTTCCCCGTCCCTCCAGAGCCTGCTCCCCTCCCCCTCCTCCACCTTTATTCGCACAAATGAATGTGGCTGGGCTGGCGCAGAGCCTGGCCCTGCATCTTAATGGGGCGGTGAGCTCACAAGATGGATTTAGCTGGGGTTTTTATGGTTGCCGCGGCGACAGGAGAATGCTTTGGTTTTCTTTCCCCCTTCCTCGGCAGGATTTTAAGGAGGGGGTAGTGTGAAGAGCTTTCCTCCACGGCAATTTGAAGGGTCTCCTCAGTCACCTCTACTGCTCACGAGATGAGCCTGCCATTCTTGGATTAAGCAAGAGATGGAATTAATAGCTCAGATAGGGAAGGATGAAGGAAGGTAAAGGAATGGGGAGACTGCAGCCTGAGGATGTGCAGGCCAGAGCAGTCTAGGCTGGCTCACTCCTCTGTGGAAACTTGGTGTTAGGCTCAGCAGCTGTGGGATACCTGGGCCCAGAAGCCCTCTTAGTGGATAGGAGAGAAGTTTGGGTGGACCAGCCCTGCCTGCAGTCCTGTATTGAAAGCGTGAATAGAGGGGCAGGAGGAGGACCAGGATCACTTCTGTCTTTTGTCTGTTGTGTGTGTGGGGGTGCACAGTCTTAGCACCCTAACCTCCCATCTCATCGCCCCACATGGTTGGGGGGGGTCAGTGCCAGAGTTGGGGCTGGTGATCATCCGTGGTGTGGAGAGGGGAGTTCTGTCTGGCTCTCTAATTTGGAATTCTGAGGCCTTCAGTTTCTTCTGTCTTCTGTTTCCCACTAGGAATAGAACTTTGGTGCACTGGCCTCCCCAGTCATCTGGCCAGCAACTTTCTTTTGTACAAGCGCAAACCAATCCTCAGTGCCAACTGGAGCAGAGATGGGAAGCAGGGTCTGAGGCTCTCCCGCTGCTCTGTCTGGTTGTGGGCCTCTGACTTTGTGAGCTTTTCCCTCTTCCCCAGAGGACCCTAACAGGCCCCTCCTCCCCTCTCCCCCTTTGGCTGGGAAAGTGACTACAGCCTGAACAGTGCCAGACACCTGCCTGCCAGATGTGGCGATTCCCTATCCCGCCCCCACAGTGTCTGTCCTTTCCCCACCCCACTGAGCTCAGGCAGTGGGAGCCCCCCACAGGGTGATTTACAGCCTCTCCTGCTCAAGTGCCCCCTTAGGCTCCTCTCCGTCCTAGTGCCGCGTCCCTTTTTTCCCCCACTGTGTCCTGCAGCCCCTTCCTCCTCTATTCCCACTGCAGCGTGCTGGGCTGAGAATGGGTGGGGCCCGGTGATTGGCCTCTGTTGCACCCATGGAGCAGTACCTCAGCAAAAGGGCTACTAGAGCTGATGTCATTCTCGCTAGAGGAGGAAGACAGGTGGCTTCAGAAGAAGTTAAGGAGGGAAGCAGTGCTTCTAGATTGTCTGCAAAGGCGACAGAGGCCTCTGAGAACCTCTAGATAGGCAAGAGAGGCCAGGATCATGGCTGCCTGGCAGGCACTGCATTTTTGTTTCTCAGACTGGGTTTCCAGACCTTGCCTCTAGATCTGTTTCTCAAATAGCTCAGTGGATGTCCTTCAGCCCCTTCCCTTCAGGTCATCCTAAAACCCACTTAGTGGGAACATTAAATCCTTGTCCTTCTCTCTAGTGTTTTTTTCTCCTGTATCTTTCTGTCGATCTCTTCCTTTCCTTCTCCCTTAGTTATGCTATGCTTCGCTCTCTGGTCACCTGGCTTCCCCCTCCTCTGCTTCAGTACCATAGCAAAACAGTAGGATTCTCAGACCTCCCACCAAGGCGGGACTCACTCCAAGGAGCTGCTTTTCTCCTCCCACCTCTCACAACCTGACACCCAAAGGGCCCCACTGGGCCAGAACTGGGTGCATTTCCTGGTGGGACTGAGGTAGAGGCCATGGCTGAAGTGAAAAGGGCAGAGGCAGGACAGATGGAGTCCAAGAAGTGGGAGGAGGGGTACAAGAAGACGGAACTAGAAACACAACGGGGGAGAAAAAGCAACTGAGAGACGAGCAGAGGCTGAGAGTTAGCAGGAAGCTAAAGCAACAAACTGAGAAAGAGAAACTGACACAAAGAAAGTCTGGGAGCAGAGAAAAATAATGGAGAGGTGGTGACAGGAAAGTCACAGCAGAGAAGGGCCACAGCTGGGGAGGGGCCGGGCTAGGAGCAGGCTTGCTCTCCTGGGCTCCCTCATGCTAGCAGGGCGCGTGCGCGCGCGCGCATGTGTGTGTGTGTGTGTACATGGCACATGTATGTGGTAGGGTCCCAGGTGGTGGTGATAGGCATGATTCCAACAACACTATTCTCCCGTTTCTTCTAGAAGCCTCTTTCCCTGAGGCACCTCAAACCAACCTCCCCACGCCACCCCCCAGTCTCAGAATTCCTGATGTTGGAGGGAGCATTCTGAGGTCCTTCTACAGCTTCTCAGGAATCCTGTCTTTCCCACTTGGAATGCAGGCCTGCTGGAATGTCCGAGATCCATAGAATCAGGAGGCCCTATCCCTTCACTGCCCACCCCAAGCCTGCCCACCAGCTGCTCCTGTCTGTCTTCTATTCCCACTCCCCTTGTGACTTCCCCTCCTCCACAGTGACCCCCTCCCCAGCCTTTGACCCCCAGCCTGCCTGGGGCCTGGGTCACTGGGGAGACAAAGACAGGATTTATCACCAGCATAGAGAAGCAGCCAGGGACCAGGGCTGGGGGCAGTGGATGACCTCCCTGCAATGGGAGGGAACACTACTAGGCCAGTGGCTGCAGGCGGCTGGAAAGCTGGGGTCGTGTGGCTCCAACTCCCAAACCCCAACTTTTCCTATCTCAGCCTCGCTTTCTCCCCATTTCCGAGAATTCTGAAAACAGTGAATAGGATGACTTTGAGGTGACTTTTAGCCTATGAAAGAAAACTGGAAGCAAGGAAAAGATGAGGTCCATGTTGCTGAGTTCCAAGTCCTAAAGCAATTCTTTTATGGATACTGAGGAGGAATCAGGCACCAGTAAATTCGGCTCTAATACTACAACAGATGAGATACACATGGACTGCTCCCTAATATGGAGAGGGTCTTCTCAAGAACAGATGCAGATTACCAGTAGGGAGGGAAATAAGGGTCCTGAAAATAAGAAAAAATTGGCCAGCCGGCCATGGTGGCGTACACATTGTAATCCCAGCACTCGGGAGGCTGAGGCAGGAGGATCACTGTGAGTTTGAGACCAACCTGGCCTACACAGTGAGTTCCAGGTCAGTCTTGACTACAGTGAGACCCCGTTTCAAAAAAAAAAAAAAAAAAAAAAAAAAAAAAAAAAAAAAAAAAAAAAAAAAAAAAAAAAAGAAAAAGAAAAAGAAAAGAAAGAAAAGAAAAGGCTAAAGGTTGCTAGCTCCAGCCCCTCTGAAAAAAAACCTTCCTCCCAGAGATCACCAACTCCTTCCTAACAAATAAGGAGCAGCCGGACCCTGCCTTTACAGTAAATACGCTATTGGCCTGAAATTGTCTCTACTCAGCAGACAGGGTGTGTGCTGGAGGACAG